TTTAACAAGTTCGCACCTCCCAGATCCCACTTGAGCAACATGTTCTGGAGGAATACACTAAAATGTCAGATACAGAATTAACACGCCTGTGAATCATTAGCACTCCAAACACACACAGCGCTTGTGCCTCAAATAGCCTCAGCTGGTACCAGCCAGAATCGGAGAAAATAAATAACTGAAGAAAAGAGTGTGCGCCATCGAAACGTCACACAGTCTCCCCTCCAGCTTCGTTCTCCGGCTTCTCAGTGAGGCTGCAGCCAGCAACCTGGACACACAGCCTCAAACCTGCGACTCTCCTCGGGAAAAGCTCTACAAGGCTTCAATATCTGCCTTTATTTTAAAAGTCAGGCAGACTTCTTGCTCCCAGTGATGCTTCACAATAAGGCTTTATTTATGACTGCTAACCAGATCCATCCGGATAGATGATGAATTCAAACAGACAGAGGGGGACGGTGGGGCCGAGGAGACAGTGGAGGGAGAGACTGGCTCAGAGAAAAGTAGAGAGGAGAGAAAGCAGATTAGGGAGACGGAGAAGGACGCGGAAGGCTGTGAATGAGGACGATATGGAGGAAAATGTTCTTGCAGGGAAACAGAGAGAGCTGAGAAAAAAAATGAATGAGAGACAGACAAAACAGAGAGAGAGAGAGAAACTGCCGTTCTTGCTGCTACTGTGGCTGCTTGCGGCATGATACTGTACCGACCACGCTCGAATGGGAAAGACTCCCAGAGCGACAACAAAGGACACAAGAGGAGCCGGCTCCATGTGAACTGGGCCCGTCTGCCCTGCACGACCAGGAGACAGCAGCACACAGAGACAAACGCACACACTCACAACGCTGCACACCAGAGCAGCTGCTGCCACAACAATTCCTTGTGCTCTTTTAATAGGGACGGCCTGCCTGGCCCGCCAACAACAAGGAGAGAGACAGACACACAAAAAGTGACACAACAGACAAACACGCATATTGCAGGAGGCTGGCTGTGACTGACACCATTTTAATGGCTGCAATATGAAAATACACAAAGCTACACAGAGCAAGAAGAGAGAGGGAAAAAAAAAAGTGGGGCATGTGAATCTAATGGGAGCAAGTGGGTGTTGTACTACATGTTCTTTCTTCTGCCTAAAGACAGTCTCTGCCATAGCAGAAAGCCAAGAAATCAATACACATTAGTGCTACTGTTAGCTCCTGGCTTCATACTATCCCTGCTTGCTCTTAAAAAATGCAATATGCATGTAAAACTAAATAGTAAATCCACCCCAGGAAGTGAAGTCAGACACTCTGGAGAAAACTCAAATGGCAAACCCCTCACAGACATGAATATGCAGCTATTTTTTTTTTGTTTTTATAAACGAACGGATGGATGGATGGATCTCTCCCCTCCTCCACCCCTCCTCCTTTGCCTCTCCTCTAAAGCCCGGCTGCTGGCTACTCATCCTGTGTAGTTACATAAACATGCTTAGTAGCAGAGGACAGAGGTGGGCACACACACAGCGCTCTCCAGCTGCCAAGTAAATAAAGAGACGGATGAAGATGCAGGGACGGGGAGAAAAGTCAAAGATGGTGAAGCGGGCAGACGGACATCAAACGTGACAGAGGTCGAGTTAATTTAGGTTTAATAAGAGACTGTGGGACGGCGGTGAAGAAAAAGTCAATGTGATTTGTGTATGTGCACTTAGTGAACTGCCCGTGGCTACACGCGAAACACGTGTCCCAGAAAAGTCATCTCTGACCACAACGCCTCAGAGGGTGTGTTTGTTTCATTTAGTTGCAAAAACGAAGAGGCGGTGGGCGGGTTCTACTGGCCCATACGTTTACCTACATCTCCACCTGTCCTTCAAAGGGCACGGAGACGTACTGCATCAAAAAGCAGCAGCAGCGTCACTGCTGAGCCCAAAATAGCTCCTGCACGCACCGACGCACGACCGCTCGACACACTCCTGCACCACTGCCGCCGAACAAACACTGGCATCTGATCCACATGCAAACATAACACATAAGGGAATGTCTCCTTCCAGACATGTGACGGATAATGAAAGATGAACTGCACAATTCGCCAGACACAAAAATTATACCCACAAAGCGAGGGGAAGGGAGAAGTACCACCAAATCACACTGCTTCCACTCAGATGAACGGCAAAGACACAGCATCAGCAGATTACTCACAGCAGGCAGAGCTCAGATTCATGGTCCTTTCTCAGCTCTGAGGCAGGGATGAAACAAAAAGAAAAACAAAAGCCGGGTGAGAGAGACTGAACTGACGGTCGAGAAAAAAAAAACAGCGAGAGAAAAAAAAGAGAACGGGGGGACAAAAACGAGGGACACAGAGGCTGGAGGATGACAGACATTCCTCTAACTCCCGCAGCACCTGGGCTGTGAGTGGGTGGGCGGCATCGTCACCGGGTCGTTGAGGACCTGCTCACGTCACACTTTTCATGAATGGAGCTGTCTGACGCAGGGAGGACGCGGCTCAAAGAGCAGAGGAGGTTGGGGGAGGTGAGGTGGAGGGGGAAGCTGGAAGGGGTGGAGCTTTCTGCACAGACCCAGAGGAGGAGGAGTGATGAGAGATGAAGAGGAAAGCAGAGGAGGAGAGATGGAGCAGGAGGAGGAGGAGGGGGATGTATTTCAAAGCAGCACCAGCTGGGAACAGCAGGTTAGGCTGCGGTGGCGTCTCTGTAAGTAGGACAGACTGTTTCTGCACAAGAGAAAATCCCTTTGTACCAAATCAGTAATCAGTGCTTTCCATGCCAATTGTATCAGCATCACACATGACTGCAGGCTGCATTAACGGCGGACGAGAGCTATTCATTTGTGACGAAACCCCGTTTGATGCAGCGTTCGTCTCTGCAGTCCTTAAAACACTGTGCCAAACATCTTGCAAAACATCTTTATGGTCACGTGTGGTGGCGCCACAAAAGCTCCAGTGTCAAATGAGGCAACGACGACTTCTTCATTCACGGGCTTTCAAAAGGCATGGTGGGTCAAGAAGGGAAAATATATTAATCATGGGAAAGACAACAGTTACCACTATAAGGGAACATTCAGAAGTTGGACTAGTGTCTGTAATTACATAAAAGATAACCAGAAGACGGATGCTGGTGTTTTCTCCTCTGCCTTCCTTTAAAATAATACTTGTGTTGACTTGTAGTATAGCATATATCAATCCTTTATGAATGGCACCTGACTAGAAAGCGGACCCAAACTCTCCTACATTTATCAGCTAAACTCTGCCTGATTAAAGCAGTGGTCGGTGTTTTCTGGTGCATGCTGCCTGTTTGGTGCACTGCTGTGGCGTTTCACATCAATTCAAACCCCCCACGCACATCACAGCTTTGTCAAAGCTGACAAAAAATAAACTTAAGTAACATACTCTAGTGCCTTCTTTGGGATTTGTTTACAAAATCAGCATTACTGGCGAAGTGTACCTGCCTAGTAAATATACTGCACATGGTACTGTGATGCACAATATGCTATGATGATGTATAAACGCTGTAGAAAAGCAAACTGAGGCTTGCGGGATTGTGTTTATCACTGTTTACGCTGTTCCGATGTGTCAAAGTTCTTGTCCCTGCCAGACGGAAGGAGCCTGAACAGTGTGTCTGCGGTGTGTATGTGCTCCCTTACGATCCTCTCAGCTCGTTTCCTGACACAGGATGTGTACAGGGCCTGGAAGGAGGACAGGTCGGTCCGATTAGTGCGCTCTGCCGACCTTACCACAATTTGAATTTTGCGCTTGTCCCATTGTCTGGCAGAGCTGAACCAGATGGCCACTAATAAATGGACTCAATGGTAGCTCTGTGCAAATGGCACAGCGGTTCCTCAGGCAGGCTGTGGTTCCTCAGATGACGAAGGAAGTACATTCTCTTCCACGCTTTATTAATAACGATGGTAATGTTACAGTCCAGGAAACAGTAAAACCATGGACTGACATAAGACGCAGGGTTATTTCTGGGAACTATGATTATGGCGGAGCGCTTACACCACAACGTGACCTCACTTGGTTCTAGTGATATCTGAAAATCTGTGTAGAGATGGGGGAGACACCTGGTCAGGGCTGGGGGCCTTCCTGCCCTGTCTTTCTAAATCATTACCCAAAATCTTGAGCTAACTGAGGTCACATCCACGCTGCGCACACACACACACACACACACACACTCCAAACACATGCAGTCACACATACGTCAGACCTGTTCCTGTAGGACGTGTGAAAGGAGGCATCGAATCGTTACAATCAACTTACAGTTTCACCACAAGGTGTAAATGCTCTGTAAGTCAATAAGTATTCTGCTGCTGGTTGACGGACTTCAGAAACAAATCTGCGTTTACTACAATGTAGAGCTGAAACTATTAGACTGTTATTATTATTATTCACACAAAAAAATAGCTTTAAAGATCTTATATGGTAATAAACTAAACATAGATTTGCAGTTTTTATATTTCCATATGCCTTTAAAAGGACACTACATATTTAGAAACATGTTTCTATCTCGCTTGTGCAGGAGAGATATGAAGTTAAAAACTTATGCAAAGACCTCTAAAACACAACTTGCAGCAAGATAAACAGAATTACATTCAATAAAAATAAATAAGAGACGGATAAACTATTAATGAGTTAGTAAATTTCCCTGAGGTCTTGTACCGAAGAGATTAATAAAGTTTTATTCTTTTATTCTATTCTACAATAATCAATAATTAATAAAGGAAGTCATTGTTTCTACTCAAATCTCGAATAAATTCACGTGACAGCAGCTGATATTCAGGAAGTTTATTAAAGTTTTAGCTTCAGGACTGAAAAGCTATCAGACACTCAGAGAAAAATCAAAAGGTCACAGCCAGAATGTCAGAAGAATTGTTCTTTCTCTCCCCTAAAAGGTCATTTACAGTCTCTGACACTCTCCCCTCAATGTGCTGAAGTATCACTGTGTCATCTAGACATTCTACTAGCCAGCATGTTGGTGACTCAACATATGTGTGCATGTTTTCACGTGTGAAGGCACCGACCTGTCAGCTTGTTTTTGAGCATCTCAAAGATCCACAGCGGGTGATCTGGGTTCAGGTTCGGCTCCGTCTCGCTTCTCACCTGCACAAAAATGGAGAAGGAAAAGAGGTTCATATGTGTGAGGGACGTGTTCAACTTCGCAGCCATAATGCACAAGTGAAGCTTCGGCCATTGCACCAATTCCAAGGTGACATTAAAGAAATCGACTCAAAAGATGAGTCACCAGATAATGGACAGACCGGTGAGAAAAGGGGGTTGCAGCAAAGACCAAAGGAAGTATTGATGGCGTGTCTGTCTATCTGGAGAGCATATATATATATAAGCGTGTCAGCGGTAATGGCAGAGATTGAGACTGACTGCGGCCAGAGGGGGTATATCAAAAAAAGACTGATAGGGAGGGAGGCCTGCGGGTGAAAGGAAAAGCTCAGGGAACAGATGCTCCCCATAGTGCTCTTGTTTCTGGCCCAAACCTCTGGGGAAGACGATGATGGGGAGGGGCAGCAGGAATGTAATGATGCATGGAGAGCGAGGGGGGTTGGGATATTTTTGAGCGGCATTGTCCAATCTCTATCCTCAAGCCACACCCCAGCGGGGGACCCTGCCAGAGGGGGAGGTCTGGTATCCCGGGGCGAGGTGGAGGCAGAGGCGTCCAAACACTGCCTATAAATGGCGTGAAATGACGGTGAAGTGAGTCACGGTGCAGATGGCTGTGGATGCTGGCTCTTGTGGGACTGACATTAGGGAATGGTGAGTGTGTTGGCCAATTGCTGGGTCTGTTAAAAACTACACCTTTGTGACGCACAGCCGAAAATTAATACAATGTCAATCGCTCCGCTGGCACCGACGAGAACAAGAGCGGCTGCAAACTGAAATTGTAATTTGTGCCGTGCTGCTGAAGACACACTCCTGTGTACACAAAACACAGCAGGGGAATTCCCAAAAATAGAGCCCTGGTTAAATATTGACAAAGAGACGGAGAGATATTAGATATCCATAGGAGAGTGGAATTCCAATACCTGATCTGTTTGCTCAGCGAGAACATCAAACTCTGCTCTGCAGCTGAAATTCCAAAGGTCAGCCAATCATAAGTCTGTGTGCTCATGTGGAGACAAGCGAAGCCGCACAGAAATAGGAAAACAAGCCAGAAACACCTCCAACCAAGTATTTTTTAAACAGAAACTATAAAAGCATACAGACAGCGTGTCCTCCAGTATCGCAAACAACAGTTGTGGCCCAGGTCCCTACCAAAATGTACCCATGATCCACTTCTTCACCAAGTTTCATGAAACTCTGATTGATTGTTTTTACGTAATCCTGCTGACAATCAGACAGACAGAGAGACAAACAAACGGCACTAATCACAAATATCCTCAGATAAAGAACTTTGAAGGGCACAACTGCAAAATCAGTGGTGATAATGGAAAGGATGTGGCCGAGGTTCCTGTACTATAACTATAAAACCCAACAAATCCAACACACGCATAACATGTCCATTCCACTTTAATAGGCTTCCCAGTGTCTTTAGCACATTTGTTAGTTTTAAATTTGAATTTGTTGACTATGCTTACGCAACACCATTAAAACGAGTGACGCACGAAGTGTATAGCATTAATCATCTTGTTACATCTTGGGTCCTGGCTTTTCGTGCGATGTCACTTTGACGCGTACCACCAACCTAAGCGTCACTGCAGGCCAAGCACACCCCCACATGGCAACAACCCTCAGCAACAGCAGCAGCCTCCCCCAGGAGGACAATGCACCCTGCTACACCACAAAAACCTGCTTTGAACACATCACGAATCCAAGGTGTTGACCTGCCTTCCCAATCTGATCAAGCACATATGGGATGCGACAGAACAAACCGGATCCACATAGACCCACGAAGGAACCACTACCGATGTCCAGGTGCCAAATAACCCCTAGAGGTCCATGAACTGACCAATCAGAACCATGATAACAGCACTATGAGAACCTACATAATGTTATGTAGGTGGTTTTAATGTTGTGGCTGATCGGTGTATATGCAATACATTAATTTCCCTGCAAATCACTTGTAAAGTTTACTTCAGATATTTTGCATCATTGCTAAATCATATCTGACTGATCTGCAGCGCTGAACTTTTGTCTCCCAATGAGAGTAATGACACAAACAACCTATCGTGTGCTTATGATGTTTGCCTCACCATTGGTTGCTTTCTTTTTTCAATCCTTTGAATGCAGAGTTTCTTTGTTATCTACCAAAAAACTCGGATGCTTGCTTTGCACCATAAGCTCCACTATACTCCTAGTTGCTGTAGATCCCTCCATCTCCACTGACTACTACACTGTGTTCTTCAGCTTTGCTGAACCCATTATTTTGCAGGAATGTCTCCACAGACACTGTGTTTAAAACACAGATTTTGCACTGGCTTCATCAGCATTGTGTGAACTCAATGGTTTAAAAGGAAAGGACACTTTACATGTTAAAATCCTGCACTCCAGCTGTAAATTCGAGTCATTCTCTCATTTAAATTTTAATTCTATTTTGCTAACAAGAGTTTTATTGATTCAACATTAATTAAAAGTTTAAATTTCACTTCGGAGAGTGACGAGCAGAGAGCAGCTGAAATCTGAGCTCGATCGTTTCCACCTCGATCACAGAGGAGCTGTCGTTCGGTACAATACGTCCACTGAACAGTTCGTGACGGATTCACCGCTCGTGACGGAGGAAAAATTTGCATTTCCTCATGAGCACAAACAGAATCAAAGCTTATAACGCTGACATCAAGAGAAAACAAAACAGAAATAACTACGCTCAGGGCCTCCCAACACAGTTCTACTGAGCCAACCATCTGCCATGTTTACGTTTCTCTGGAAATACACGGACAAGTCACCCGCCTGACTGTTTACGGTGACGCTGTGCTGCTTCGTGGTTTTTTCCCAACTGCGTTAATTTGCAGTGTGCAGGCCAACGTCAGAGTCCACTGTTTGTGTTTACCACCAGTCCCAGACGTCAAGTTTCAACACAAAATCAATGCTGCCATAACTCTGTCTTCAGGTGTTCTTACTGCGAAGTACACAGAAACCAATTCAGCACGTCTTCTTGGAGATTTAAACGTAACTGAAGTCATATAAATAAATAAATCATAATCTATTCCAATTTAAGTGGAGTTATATTTATGGATGGCGATACGCGTTTAGTTTCTCGAGGCCAAATCACTGCTGCCTCGACAGTCGACGCTCTGGGGGAGGACAACAATAACTCTGGAACGACAGAACTGAAAGCCACACAATTACTGCAGCTGACAGCTACTACACACACATTACTGAATGTGTTGCCTCCTCTATTAAATGATTGCTCAGTAAAAATACAAATTCATTGTTTCAGTAAACTTGGTTCAAGAGGATTTGCATCTGTTCTTCATTGCTTTTCTGAATATGTTTTGTTTACTGGGCCTTTCGGTGAGATGTAAAAAAACGGCAATTGGAAGAAGTCCTTTTTGTGTCATTTAAGTGAAATTGTTAATTGAAATCCAAAATAATTTTCCAATAATTCTACACATTAAGTTGATCTAAAAGGCTTTTAAAAAATGACTCCCTTATACACTACTTCTACATGAGACAAGGGCTTTAAGACTTTGAATCCAGAATTTTCACAAATACCTTTTCCAAACCCGTGTCTGTGAAGATTCCCAGTCATCCAGGTCATGATTATTCTCGTAGATTAATCGTAGCAACTGGACTTGCTTGAGTTCCTTGAAGACGTTTCACCTCTCATCCAATAATGGCTCCTTAAGGATATAAGTATCTGGAACTAGTCACTCAGAACTGATGAAGCCTCTTGGATGAGACGTCTTCAAGGAACTCAAGCAAGTCCAGCTGCTACGATTACTCTACGAGAATTTTCCAAACCCCTAAACGAACTGTGTTACCATTACCTAACAGGCGCTTCTGTTCCCTTTTTGCTCAGTTTTCAGAAGTTTTAGGTGACCTGCACGCTCAAATAAATTACAGACTTCTTCTTCAAACGTTTCCAAAGGAAAGACATAAAAAGAGCCTGACCTCAGCCTCTCAATCTGCCGTATTCCAGCGGTGGCTAAAGCCTCCTGCTCTGCCTCCATCACACATGATGCTCCATGCGCCGTGGCCTCGCCTCCAAGTGCAACAGAGCTGTAAACCACACTGGCTCAGCTCCGTTATACACACTCATTACTATTTCACCAGCAGCGGAACAGCAGCACTGACAGCTCCTGTGTCCCCGGCATTAATAAGAGAAAAAGCAGCATCGCACACATAAGCTTGCAGCGGTTTACCTTTCCAATCTGCCAGCGCAGGCAGGGACCAGGTTCAGACACGGCGGACCACACACACGTCTATGATTACTGACAAATAAATAAGGCTCCCGTGGAGGGTTTGCTAAGTCCTACAGCATGTTGGCTTACATACTTACTGCACCCCATGAAATTATGATAAAAGCCCTGGTGAAAGAAGTAATCCAGCCTATTAATGTCACTGCAAAAGTCATTTAGTGTTACTTAAATAAACAAGCTTCTGCCATAAACGCTATTATACATACACTGCTAGCAAAATTACTCACTACGAACAAAAGCATAATTTAATTTGTGTCAATGTGAGATAAAAGAAATGAAATCCTTTTACAGAATAGGATTAAATGCTTCTCTTTTTTGTTTTTTAATTTGACCAGTCTTTTATGTTTAAGCTCAGTTTCTGTAATTGATTTTTTTTTTCCCTTGGGCTGATAATCAAACATAAGATTGAGAGTCGGTAGAAAACCTTGTATATGTACTGTATATATATTTATTGTTTAATATCCACAGTACTACAGACGATGAACAAGGCTGGATTCTTTGATCGTTTGATATTTTGACGAGGTAGATATATATTATGAGGTACCACACATAACATTTTTTTCACATTACATATCAAATATCTGCTCAGCTTTGGGACTGAAACTCTAATCAGTATACAGTGTGTGTAATATTTAACTATACAACTAGCTACCTACATATATTCAGTTTATCACATGTTAAAAAAGTAAAATTTCTGTCTC